CAATTCTATAGAATGTTGAAGTAATACATATAATATGATATGTTTACCCTAACTATGATAGAACTAGCTCGGAGAAGTTGTGGTTGATGTAAGTGGTCATCGTTTTGATACGGACTTTGTTAATAACAGTTAGAAATTCTGCTGAATTACATTATCTTCACAAGTTACTGCTCGGAGCATTGGTGATTGATAATATAATATTTGATAGACGGATCGTTGCCGGAACATTAAAGACCTGAAGGTACAAATAACACCGGTAATCAAATTACGTTTGGTGGCAGCGAAGGATGCAAGAAAAATCAGTTAAATTTATAAAACTACATACCTATATCCAATTAACAATTAGTTTCTACTTGCTTCTACTACTAGTAGTTAACTACTTGCTTATCAGGTGTCTTTCAGGCAACGATTGACTCCAGATTAAATATGTATTATAACTCATTTTTCATTCCCACCGACGCGATGATTCAAAAGGCGTGCGGTATCGTCTTCACTTTCCCATTCCCACCGATGGCTCAGAGTCAGCATTAGGTACTTTACACCATTGTTATACTATAAATTTATTCCCCAGCTACGCTTGCGTAACAATCGCTTCACAATAACAAATTACCACAACATAAATGACCGCATGTTTCTCATTTGCTCCTTCAAACTCAGATACAATAAATTAAAATACATACATATATCAAAAAATATTTTTCTTTCTATGAACACTATGCTTAATCCAAATTATCTTCATCATGACCGGTGGCGATATACCGACCGTTTAAAACTTTTTATACATAAATCTTGTCACATTATAGTTTCAATGTAAATTATTGAATGGGAAATGGAAAAAGCTAGGTATGTAGTGTGACATGTGAATGAAACGGCTTCTGTTACAAAAAATATGGATAAATTTATTTATAAGAACTAAGTTTGTTTATCACAATTATAACTTCTGTCGAGAACTAAAAACTTTTATGTCTAATTCATATTAAACCACTTTTTTGATTTCTGCTTCCAGTAGTCGCTGAATTTCTTAAATACAATATTATTTTATATTTTCAATGAAATAAAATTAAGGAATTCACAAAATATAATTTTATCAATTTGGCCTGAGTTTAGACTTTAGTCTAACCTGCTGAGTTTTGAAATTATATTTCGTTTCATATTTCCACTAACAAGGCTTTCCTCGTATTTCATGTTGTCGATCCAGTTTAAATAAAGCAGTTTGCGATACTTCCAAGAATTAGATAAGTAACATTCGATATTTAACTGAAATGGATTCAATATTTAGTTATGAAATAAGGAAGTATTAAATCGTAGAAAGAGGAAACCCTTCATAAAAGAGAACATGCGTTTATCGCAACAAGACTCCTGTGAATAAATGTAATATTTTGGCTTTCAAATGGTTTATTAGAGAGACTTTAAGAATTGAAATGGACAGTTCAATCATAACAATATTTTTAGACACTCTTGTCATTTTACCTTTGAGTCATAATTGACCAATTTTGTGAGAAAGAAAATGAATACAAGATGGTGAAGCGTTTGAGAATGTTTTGTAAGATTTATTTAGTTTTATATATCGAAAAGACTTTGCCCGTTTGAAACACAATACACGTGCAGTATTACACCTAAGACATCCCGCATATTTCTCTGAGGAGTATTCTTCAAACATACACATCGACACTCATGAAAAATTAGCAGCTGTAAAACTTACAAAACAATCGCCTGATAAATAACTAATAATTAAATTGGATATAACATTAATTACATCTCAAAAACAAGAATGTTTTATTTATATAATATCATAAAATAAACCGTACAGTTAACATACATTGTAAAACAGATTTCGTGCGATACTTCGCCACATAGATTTGTAGATAAATGTTAGTTAAGCAAATGACTGTTTGAAGTTAAACTTGAATAGAAGATTCGTGGTATATATGTAGTACTGACATATTCCGAAGTACTTTATTTCAAAAAAAGAAAATGTAAAGTAAGTCTTTATCTCTTAAAAGGCGTATTGATAAGAACGCCTCGAGCTGTGTTTAGTACATTATCATAAAACACGAAAGAAAATTGTTTCACACATTTTTGTACTTTGTTTTTAACAAAAGGTAAATATTATTAATAGCAATTAATGTATCTACGAGGTAAAGTAATATTCATCACAATATTTGTTTATCTGATGGTATTCTGAAATAAAACGAACGTAAAATGATAAACGAATTAATTTGACACCAACATTACAGAGTATTGAGTTATCGAGTAAAAATATTTATCAACTCATTCTCTAGTCAATTAAATTCTTGTAAATTACATGACAATATCATTGTGTATAAAAATTATTACATTATTTTCGCTAGTTTATAAATATTTGAAATATCAAAGTATGTACCTAAGAAATACGTAAATAATTATTCTATATTACGGATATGACTGTTTATTCTTATTTATTCATAATAATAACTGGTAATGTACGATAATAGAAACCACGCGTATTGATAGTTCCAAGAAATCTCCACAATACAATGGTTCTGTATTTTACGGTACATATATTAAATATTAGATTGATTGGGTTGGCCTGCTTCTATCAGCTATATAGAGACAGTAGTATACAATTTTGACCCTTAGTGTTGTTAATGTTTACGGCCATAATTTTGTAGAAAATAGTTCAGAAAGATATAAATACCTAACCAGCACCATAACATAACCCCTGCCTTCTCTCAAAGATGCCGTGCAATACTCAAGATGGATTGTGAACAACAAAATCTCTTGAGTTTTTATACGCCGACAGTCCAAAAAAATAGCATCTCTTCCTCAAGTATATTTAGTTTAAGCCGCAATTCCAATTAAGCTATGGTGACCTGATTCAATCCGTACGGTTTTAATCGACACCTATCAGACAGTTTCCGAAAGTTTACTGAGCTATTCGTAGATTATTGTTTATTTTAAGAAACACAAATGAGAAATGATTGTGATATCAACTTTTTAGATTGTCTCTTTTATACGCTAGGTACGAGTATAGTTATTGTGACAAATTTATGAGGTTTTTGTCTACTATAAGAGTAACTTGCACCGATGTAGTCACATATAATATAGTAAAAGTTAAAAACTAAATATTGAGAGTTATGAAATAATATTGAGTAAAAAAAAATATTTAATCGGATTTTGTTGATGAAAATACGATTCTTTGCAAAATTTTGTCGACAAATAAATTCCATAACATTAATTGACGATGATAGCTGCGACACTCCTAGTATCTATTTGTAACACATACATGGAAATGGTGTAAATTGTTCATTCTGTATAATTTGTTACGACGTGCCCTGGCTCGATTTTATAAATGATATTTATATTTTATTCAATATATTTTTAAACTTGATGTAGATGAAACTTTATGTAAAAAAAACAAAGGAACTCTAACCTACACATATATTAAGCTCGCTGTTTTTAGTTGTACAGCTTATTTTGGATACACATAATAATTGCACATTTTTTAACGTCTTTTCAACAATTGCCTTGAGGAAACCACTTGCTCCCAGCGTCTGAGAAGTGTTCTCGAGCTCTTACATATTTTTTAATATCTCGGATATTAAAATATGACTTGACACAGACAAGGACCTGGCTCGGGAGGACGTCTTAGTAGGTCTTGACGATGGCCAAGAGAGGCACCTGTTTACATTTTCATGGAACAAACTCCTCGCCACTAGCGTCACTTTTATGGATTCCTTGTAATCTGTGTTTGTCTAGAGGCTGGGTTGAATTGTTACAGTTTTTTCTCCTAACGAGTAGGAGGGAAATGTTTCGTCATACCCCAGAGTATCGGCCCGCTCATCACGTAGACTGAGTTGAAAGATGCTTTGATTTGCTTGAGAGCCTCTAGTACAGCGTTGGTGGCTTTTTAGGATTTAAAGCATTTATCTGTTATTTTTTTTAGTTGTTTTATACGCTATTTTTAGATTAATTATTATTCAAAATACATCGTCATTAAGATCTATATATTAAATACCATGGAATGTATAAATTCATTTATATATTTATTTTCAAATCTATATCATAGACATATAAAAGAAATTAAGAGTTCAAGACAAAAATTATAATTTTTAAGATGTTAATATATAGAAATATAATATTGAAACTAACTTCTATGCATTCTACAGACATATCTCATTCCCTATACACCTTATAAATTGGCTGCAGGAAACTTTATCATAATTTTGATGACATGATTTATTATATTATATCGAGGCTCGTATTCAGGAGCTTCAGAATATCGATTGTAAAATTGTGTCATGTTATACGTTACCATAGAACAATCAGAAAGGTTCAACGACACATACATAAAAGGACAATAGAACAAAATAAAATTTTACAGGAAGTATTAAGAAAATACAATTAATTTTTATTATAATTTTTAGCTTAATTTTATTATATACTATTATAATAATAATCATTGGAGAACATAATATTTTCCACATCAATTTACTGTTGTAAATAAAGCAATATTATCTTTATATAAGTAACCTGGTTATGTTGATGGTTCAACTTGGAGTATGGTTAAATCTGCCTACGATTAGCACTATTCTCGTTTTTTACACCGTTATACGTGTATTGGGTAGTAACATGCTTTTTTTGTAAATTTATAGTAGGGAATATACAGTACTTAGCCCCAGAATTGTTTTTGAGGGATTTTTTTTAATACATCTTCAGAGTTCAAAGAGTTCTCCTTATTTGCCGTTCCTTGTCAAAGAAGGGCCACTTTTCGTGTGCAGGACCATCACATTCGCAGTTCTACAAAATTGCGAAGTACGAAAAGGTTTGTGTTTTATTTTGATAAGGGATTAAACTGTCATAGCATAATGTTTACATTAATTCTCAAGATATTTCAAACCTAAAAATAATAAAAATAACAATCCGGAAAGAGTAAATAAAAAAAATATTTTATGAAATTTAATTTATTAGTAATAAACAGTATAACAAATGCCTGCATAGCATGTACGGTCAAGATAATTTTAATCCTTTCTTCGGTTAGCAACAGTAGCGTCTCTATGCTGGTTAACTCCACGCAGCAGCCACCCACGTCCAGGCTGACCTGGTTCTCCACCGACAGGATAATCATGAGCATCATAATATTGTGCTAAGAACATTCGTCTTGGACAATCAGATGTGTTCGGTGTACTGCCGTGTATCAAAAGATAGGAAAATATAACTACGTCCCCAGCTTCAGCCACCACTGGAATCGCCTTCTCGATTGGATATTTGCTCTGTTGAATAAAACGAAACATTATATTTTAATATTTTCACAGTTACAAAATCATATTGTATTGAATATTTTAAAATTAACTTTTATAAAATTAATAATTCACATTATATAAAGGAATTAAAGTAAATGAACTGACATTAAATTGAAAGTATGATAATAATATTTTCATAAATATTGAATTGACATATGTAATTATGTTTATTAGTTCTTGCCTGATCCACATAGTGAAAATTGCTTCCTTCTTTAGGGCCAAAATCTTCTAGCGGTCCTAACTTGTGTGAGCCCGGGTACACAAACAAACCTCCATTTTTAGGGCTTGCAGGATCTAAATGAATGAAGGCCGCTACCATCGAGTCGTTTTTGTATGGAAAGTATGGATAATCCTGTACAAAGATTTAGAATAAGGTGACTACATAGTAGTAAAATAATCCCTACTAATATTATAAATGCGAAAGTAACTCGGTCTGTCTGTCTGTTACGCTTTCAGGCCTAAACCACTGAACTGATTTTAATGAAATTTGGTACAGAGATAGAGTTGACCTTAAAAATGAACATAGGATAGTTTTTATCCCAGACTTTTGAAAAGTTCTCTTGGAAACACGATATATCCGAACTCCACGCGGGCGAAGCTGCAGGCGGAAAGATAGTATTATTATAATTTTGGACTTCGAAATCGTTTTATTAAAGTCACTCCAGCTCACCTGATGCATGGGATATGAACCACCTTTTTCTGGAGGTTTAAAATGAGCTTTGGTATGGTGTAGTGCTATATTCTTTGTATCCATAACATCTTCTAGTGCATCTAGAAGGTCGTCATTATACAGTAACTTGCCAAATACAGCGTGGTGGTATTGCAAGTTGTGAATACCTTTAACCTGTAAAATGATAAAGAGGACTTAAAAAAATATATACATTTATTAGCATCAAATAATAAAAGTGTTTATTTAAAAATGTATACTCATTCTAAATTTTATTTGATTACGTTTTTATACAACATTTATTTTCAATTCTTTTACTTATATGTAGTACAAAATATCAAAAGAAACTCGTAGTTATATTATTTCCTAAACTAAGATTATTATATTAAAATAGGTATCTTTACTTACAGTGTAAGGACTATCGCTTTCTCTAAAGTTATCATCTCCACCAACCCACAGACTCTCTATTTTCTGTTGATTCTTTCTTCTGAACAAGTTGTCATACTCCTGTGATAATGTTTTCAGTTCGTCGTCTTTTATCAACTTTTTTAAATGAATGTATCCATTTTCTTTGTAAAACTTTTTCTGTTCATCAGTCAACCGAACCATGTTGAAGTTGTATGGAAATTGTATAATAATATTGGTATATTTTACTATAAGTATATAAGAACGAAGAGGTGAACCGGACAAGGTCAGTGACCCCCCTGATAAAACTATGGAATGAGTTTGTTTATAAACACAGCTATTTATGTTTTCAACAGTTTTGCAGGGTTCCGTAGATGTATTTTCCGATTAATGCATAATTGAACTCTCATTGTGCATAAAAAAATACTATCTTTAGCTTGATATATTTTTAAAACAGAAATAAATTTATTCCCAACAATATTATGATAATAATTGAATGTCTTTAATATAAGTACATTATAAAACTATGTACCTTTGGGTTATATAATATCCCTGACATTTTTTTTAATCTTGTTTAATAAAGGGATCAATAATAATTACTCATTCGAAGATGACGCTTATGACTTCCAATACTGATAATCTTTTTGTATTGATTAAAATTGATTGACTTAATTATTAGTTTGCACATATAATTAAGATCGTTATTAGGTAATTATTTAGTTCAGTTCAGTTCATTTGTATCCACACTTTTTGCAGTATTTTTACAGAAAGTACACTTTAAAAATACATATTTTTGATATAACGTATGTTTGTTAATTAGATCCTATCTTTTTAACCTGTATAAGTTCATAAATTAATTATTATTATCAAAGCAATGATCTACCTCGTTGTGGTTAATTATTTTTATAGAAAGATTTTGTGATATCTTTGACAATGAAAAACAACTGATAACCTACAATTTGTTTAAGTTGTTATTATAACAAAATATATAATAATAAAGAATGACGTTGTTACTGTAATCATATCAAGATAGAATTTTGCGAGTCATAATGAATGTTCCGTTTTATATTTTCTTTAATAAATGCTTTTAAGATTTTTTTTTAATTAAAAAGCATATTATAACAACATTATAACAATTTTGAACGTTTAACAAAAAAAACTCTCTGCTGTCAATCAATAACAAAAGAGGTAGTTGTAATGTCCCGGCATTAGCTTATTTAAATTGGTTCAATATTTTTGAAACAAATTTAAAACAACACCAATTTAATCTTCTTCTTCTTCTTTATCAGCCTATCAGCGCCCACTGCTGAGCAAAGGCCTCTTTCTCACATGGAGAAGATTTGAGCATTAATCACCACGCTTTCTCAAGACGGGTTGGTGATTTCAAACTTATAATTGTGAAACTATAAGTCCAGGTTTCCTCACGATGTTTTCCTTCACCGTATGTCAATGGTGTCTAAATACTCTCACAAAGTACATATGACTCGGAAAAATCACATTGGTAATTGCCAGGTTTGAACCCGCGCCCTCGGCAACGAGAGGCGGACCCTGTAACCACTAGGCCAACACTGACCTTTACAAATTTAATACAATTTAATACAAAAAGCTTATCGTATAGAAGTATTGAAATAATATACAAATTCACACCACGATAACAATATTTATTTATTCTTAGATACAAAAACAACGATGATTTTATTCAATTTACACAAAAGTTAAAACTATTTTTATTTAAAATTATAATAACATTTTATCGAAATTTAAACACAAGTGAAAGATTTAAAATGCACTCTGAAAAGCAGACCAACGCGACGTTTCGATGGAAAAGGGAGCCCTGATCTCCTTAGTCAGTAAGTCAGTGTTGGCCTAGTGGTTAAGGGGCCCGCCTCTCGTTGCCGAGGGTGCGGGTTCGATCCTGGCAAGTACCAATGTGATTTTTCGGAGTCATATGTACATTCTGAGAGTATTTAGACACCACTGACATACGGTGAAGGAAAAACATCGTGAGGATACCTGGACTTATAGTTTAACAATTATAAGTTTGAAATCACCAACCTGTCTTGAGCAAGCGTGGTGATTAATGCTCAAACTTTCTCCATGTGAGAAAGAGGCCTTGGCTTAGCAGTGGGCTCTGATAAGCTGATCTCCTTAGACAACTGCTTATTAGTAGTTCGGCTATTTCGTACCATCGCTTCTTTCTACAATATAATAATATCCAAGATTTTCAGGACTTTATATTTAAATTATAAGGTTTTGTTCTAAAAAGAGATGGTTACTAAAGATAATCGGTGCGTCTCTTGAAGTATAAAATAACATAGTTTTTAATAAATGTGTAGATAATTGGAACTATTTTTTTAACAATTTTTGACAATATACATAAATAAATATAAATGCAGCATGTTACCGGAAATATTGTACAGACAAGAATACATTTTATATTACAAAGTACGTATTTGAGATAAGCTTATTTTTAAAGAATTTTATTTTTCATACATTAATTATTTCTTATTACTTAGAAAAGATAAAGTTGTTATTGTGTTCTCTTATAATAAAAAATCTTTTGTATAATATTATATTTAAAGGGTTTTTTGTTACTTGAAGAAAAAAAGCTTTACGAGTTTAGGTATAAGAGTTACTTTTAATAAACAATTATATGTGATAGAATACATGGCTCTTGAAAGTATCTTTAGCGAAATTTAAAAAGAAAATAAATATATTAAGGACCTCTTTAAAGTTAAAAAAAAAGGTTTTCATAGTGCAAAAATAATAATATAGAAAATGCGTGACTTGCTTACTTGTATTTAGGTTTGGTGTGACTATTTCTGGTAAGAAGTAACTTAATAAAAAGTATTAATTTAAAAAAAAAAAAAATTATAAAAAACTTTTACATATTATATAAAAAATATTTTACCTATAACGGCTTTGAAAACTTAACTCTTCGTCAAGTCAGCAAGAAACTCTGCAACTGCTCTTCATGGACTTATTTTCATTTTAAAATTTAAACTTTGTTAAAAACTTCATTAAACGCGTGTAACTAACCTTAAAGTAAAAAAAAATTGTTTCGGACTTTTTTTTCACTTTTTAGTATCATTTACACATATTTGTTTTGTGTAGTAATCGATTTTTAATAGTAATTGGGAAATGGATGGGATGATGAAAGTTTCAAACTTAACTAAATTTATTAGGGTGAAGAGACACAAACTCTTAGCATTCCATGTATTCGCCGTGCGGTAGCCGAGTCATTTGCGCCACAGGGATACAGAAGGAGAGGATCTTCAACAGTGTCTAAGACTTGCGACCCAGGTGTAGATTGATCCACTTCATCCAATAGTACTTGACAATGTTTGGGGTTAAGTGTCAGTATTGCGAGATGGTCAGCGGAAGTTAAAATGGATTCCGTATATTTATTATTAAATACATTGTAACATTATTAACTATATTGTAACTCAAAGTTTTTTTTTACCTACAATACCCGGAACATACAATCATTTAGAAATAGATTTTCGAGGAATAAAACTGTGGGCTCTGGAAAGAATGAATACTAATTTGAGTGATAGACCTTCAGGTACTGCGCACTATTAGAGCTCTTATGTTAGCTTTGAGCGCTGTGTTGAGAGTCGTAACTTTAATTATATGTGACTATCGGCTGTAATGCGACATGTGATAGAAGGAAAAGTTGTTATGTGGCGACGGAAAAGATGAATTTTAATATAGGAATGAGGTATATCGGCTATAACCGCCTGAAGCATTATATAATAATGTTTTAACATTTCAAATATAACATGTTACTTGGTCTACTTGTTCAAAGAAACAGAAAACACTCCTCGGAAGAACTTAATATAAACCAAAAGTAGCTCTCGTAGAATAACATCAAGTTTAAAGGAAAAATGAAACTTTAGCAGAAACTCTTGTGTGTTATTATTAACGTGTATCATCAACATTATCTGATTTTGTTACAAGATTATGATCTATAACACAATATTAGTCTTAGCACGTAATACTAAGACTAATATGGTAAGATATAAAATCAAATAAACGCCTTCCAGGACAAAACATGATATTTTAAATATAGGTTTTAATTGAACAATTTAATACAAAAAAAAAAACTCCAGCAGAAAAGCAGGATTCACGATGTTTAAAGTATTTATGACAGAAAATGACTTTTATTGTATTTGACATATTAATTTACCAGAGATCATAAGTTTTCATCTTATTTAATAAGGGTCATTCTCATTTTCAACATTTGACCGGCTTTAGTTATAAATTGAATATCATACTTTGGATTTAAGTAATATTTATTTCAGTTTGAATACTTTTAATTGATTCTGGTATTGGAATAATCAGTTTTCCTTCGCTGAGATTGATTTTTAGATCTGGAGTTAGAACAAAATCATAAGCACTTTTATTAATAATAATAATATTGTTTATTATACAACTTAAAATACACAACTATTAGAATTAAAGAAGATAAAAATGTATAAATGTAAAGGTCTTATCGGTCAAGAGCGATCTCTTCTAGACATTATGTGTATTTTAAATACAAAATATAGATTACACATTTTTCTTTCTATATTTTGATAATAATTGTAAAAATTTGTTTTAATAATATATTATATACTTACATAAAGTCAGTGGTGGTGTAGTGGTTAAAGGGCCCACCTCTTATGCATGAGGGCGCGGGTTCGATACTGGCAAGTACCAATGTGATATTTCCGAGTCATATGTACTTTGTAAGAGTTTGGACATCACTGATTAATGCATTCCCAAAAGGGGGTTGATATCAGGTAGGCGGCCGGTCGTAAAAACAATTAGCCAAAACTATTCACATCATGTAAGGCAGACCCTGGCTAAAGCTGGAAAATTGTCAGGTAGAAAAAGAAGGTTATATACTTACATACTTTCATATTATTTAAAATACATATACGTACAGTATAAGGATAAAATGTAATCCTTTTTATAGTTATATATAACTGCATTTGGATTGTTTTTTGGAATTGTTACTTTGACCACGAATACTTAGTGTTTATTAGTGTTCTGAAAACATTGTGAAACAAAACGATCAAATCTGACAGAAAATAACCAAAATTAAATCCATTTTATTCTTATTTAATTAAAAACACTTTTCCTGACAGTTAATTAAGTTCTTAAGATATTAATTCCATGTCTTAAATAAGAGAACTTGATCAGCACAAAGGAAATAAAGC